TGACGAAAGTCCACAAAATTTGTAAATATACTATATATTGTTAAAACGATCGCCAATACCCTTAGAGAAAAGAAAGAAAAAAAAAATGTTTTGTATTTAATTAATATCAATTATTTGTTAATTTTGAACTCAGTTTAGTTACACCACAAAAGAACAACGTCACATCCATTCACTAGGTAAAACAATTGCTTTAAATATGTATTATATGTATGTATAATCTACTATTCTCTTATATACCGCATCTAATATTATTTGCAGGAAATCGCCATATTTCTTGTTAGCGTTCGCGTTTACTTTCGAACTAGACATGTAAGCACGAATACACATGCTAATGACGTCAGTTCCGGTGTTCAGAAGGACAGTAGAGCATCGATTATCCGACCCCGATTAACCGTCACATCGGTTAACCGACCGTTCTAGTCGGTAAATTTCAAATGTCCGCTAGTGATGTGGCACTACAATATTTGGCTATGTCTTGGCTACTTTAATATTATTTTTGTTAAATTTTTGCGTGTTTTAGCTGGCATCAACGGCTCGACCATTGAAGGGAGGCCAATATTTAAACGAGACTTAATTTTCTAATTATGAGTGGTTGTTTGTTTCGTGAGCAATAAAATAATTTAAGAAAATAAACTATTCTTACACACCAGAGGAAAATATACTTTCACACAAAAACCTTCGTAACTCCAGTGATACTTTAAAAATAATTTTTAACGATACAATAGCGACGATTATTATTTTTAAAAATTTGTTAGGCTAAACATCGATGAAAATTCAACGCAAAGTTGGTTAATAGCGATATACTAATAAACTAATTACATGGGATATACTAATATACTATACTAATAATGTATTTTTTTCATTCTTTTCGGTTATCCGATTTTTTCAGTTATTCAACCAACCTGAGTCCCCAATTGAGTCGGATAATCGATGCTCTACTGTAGTACTATTAGCTCAGAAGTAAACGCACCCTAAGATAAACAAATTATCATTTCTTTAGCTTACTGTCAACGTTGTTGAACTCGTTATACGTTAAATAAAATGGAATGTAGTGAGTGTGGTTTAAAATATAGTCAAAGACAAAGTTCAAACAGTACGATTTGTGTTATACCCAGGGCTGTGGAGTCGCGTAAAAATCTACCGACTCCAACTCCGACTCCGACTTTTCCTTGCCATCCGACTCCGACTCCGTTTCATATACATAACAAGTTGGTAAGTAAACGGGAGTCGGAGTCGCGGATTTTTTGACGACTCCGACTCCACAGCCCTGGTTATACCAGTACAATGCAAGTACTTGTGTTTTCTGTTCATAATTATAAATTAATTATAAATGCTTTGCTCGAAATGAATTAAATTTATGGAAAAATATCTTGCTTTAAAATGAATTTTTCCATAAAAAATAAAACTGTAAGATTATGAGATGTCACTATGAATAAAATAAAATATAAAGGGACTTAACATTTGATATTATCTTACTGAGAGAATTGCTATTATTATTATTATTATGTTGGGTTTAGTAGGTAATACTCGGTTTAAACCGGTGGCTGTGTACTATGCCGGACCAGAGTCAAGGCATAGCAACCAAAACAAAACTAAAATTAAATGTGTGTGTCAGTGTCTGTATTAAGGAATTTCCTAACAATATGGCATGTATTCAATATAGTGGCCTTCTGTAGTGTGATGTATGTATTTCTACTCAATTGTAATGTTCCCAGGCTTTTGTGTAGCATGTGTGGTATCACACCTGTACAGGAGAGAACAACAGGTACAATAACTACCCTATCCATCCTCCACAGATGCCTTATTTCCTGGGCAAGTTCTGTGTACTTGCTAATTTTTTCAGTGCATGTGTTTTGTACATTGTGAGTGTTTGGAATGGCTATGTCTATAATGTATGTGATTTTATTGTGTTTGTCAATGAGTGTGATGTCTGGTCTGTTGTGGTAAATTGTTTTATCTGTCATAAACTAATGTATGAATGTCTGAGAGTGTAAAAATTGAATGAATGTAGTTTGGTAGTAAGTGAGTGTTTACATAATCCAGTGTTTTTCCTACTGCCTTTGAAGTGTTGATTTTTGGTATACGTGGTCTTTGTGTGGGATCTGTACCAGTATATTTAGTGAGTGTTTCCTGAAATATAAGTGAGAGTGTATTAACTAATTCTATGTCTACGTTATCAGTGATGGATGGGGAAGTGCCTGCAGTATCATTAGTGGTACTTGTTGTGTGTGTGCTGTAATCAGTGCTTGTTACTGGATTATCCTGACAGGTTACGTGATCTTCATTAATGTTAAATGTTTCTGTCTGTTGATGTATTTGATCAGCAACCTGTTGTTTGATA